TCACTAGTTCAGTGAGGTTGGCAGCCCCCTACAATGGGACCTGGGTTTTCAATTTGTCAACAAGGCCCTATACAGGTTTCCCTTGCTTTATGTGGGTTCTGCATGTGTGAGTTTGCTGTTATGCAATGACTCTTTTGTGCCAAAAAATCGTTATATGCGAGGTAAAATTGCCCTTATGCGATCAGTGTGGTAGAAGCCTGAAGTCAGCTGCTTTCTGCAGTGCATTGTGAGAGTGACGTGCACCAAAATATAGTATCCTGTGTGGATCTGTGCTCCTCGCTCATTGTCTGCGACACGTTTCTGTAGTTGCCATCCCCTTATGGTAGTACCCTATGTGTACTGTCTACTGTTGGTGAGTACCAAAATTGTCTTGGAGAAGTGGTAGAAATGGGTCTTGGAATGTAATCCTTATTTGTTACATTGTAAAGTAGGTTCCTTTTATGTGAATTTCAGTTATGTGTTGTTTTCCAGGAGCACATGTACAGCATAAAGCAAAGGAAACCTGTATAATATCCAGGTGATACACAATTAATACATAATCACTTGATCCAGTCCAGGAAGATATTTTTATATAGTAAACATGTATGGTGTATATTTTTCACTTATCAGCGGTTCTCAGGTAACTCAAGTACTTTAATATTTTAGTCTTACGTAATTTCTAAGAGAATATAGGTTGAGTTTTATCAATACTTCATTTTTAAATACCAAAATCATAAATAAAATACCAAAACTAAAATAAAACCTTGAAGAGAACTGTAGAATGTTACTATGTTTGGGTGCTTCATCTTAGCCAGAAGAATGACTTCCTTCTGAGATGCTTCTTTTTCTTTCGTAGGCATCTAAAGTGAGTTAAGGAGTAAAATGGTAATTTCCTATTACATACTCTCAGTATGTAGTGATTGAGATATCAAACAAGCCACCTGAAGAAAAATTAAATACATAGTAATGGATTTAAATGTGTCAAAAGATTATTTAAAGGATATTGCCCAATATTAAAAACTGTAACACAGCCAGTGAAAAATACAAGCTCAGTCTAAATAACTGAAAACATAGTGGCCCTTTTACTTAAACCACAAGAAATGACATTTTAGCCTCTGATCTGACAAACAGTTAAGCAAGTGTATAAGAAGTGTAAATTTACACATTTATATTTCTGTTAGGACAACTTCATGACTCACACAAGTCAAGTTAGAGTAGGCCCTACACACACTTAAGTGTCTGTAAGATCAGGGCTTATGAGACTTACATTCTTGGAATGGTTAAGTTCAAAAGAACAAAATATAAAAGAGTCATTTTAATGGTGTTACAAATTCTTGCAATATTTGGAGATAAATCTCTGCCTCACTGAAGTCACTGGCAAAATTAACATTGGCTTTGGTGGGGACAGGATTTCTAAAATTCAGCCACCCAAAGTGTGTTTCTTAAAGCTCAGAGTCCAAGAATCAAATGATTTCATGAGAATCTCAGATAAAAAATAATTTATAGTCCCAGTGGTTGTTGAAAAATCTTGAAAATGTAACCAACGCATGCAAATTGAGAACAAATAAAAGGAATCCAAATTCTGTTTATGTAAAAAACCTTAATGATTTTAAAGCCAATCTAATATTTTTTGGCATCCAGCTTCTAATTTATGGACACTTGAGGATGGTCAAACTATTTTATTCATTTCAATATGTTGGTAATGTGTTCATCAAAAGTCTATAAAATGTTTTATTGTTGTGAGCATACATTAAAATAGAACAGGTTATTTTTCAGTTAGCAAATCCTTCAGTTTTGAGTCTGAAAGTTGTACAAAGATTTTCAGAACTGGTCTATGGAAAATGCATTCTTGTACTGTAACTTCGCCAAGCTTGAGTTATGCATGTAAACATGCTTGAAAAATTACTAAATTAATAGGCAGAAGGTAAGGCCGAGTGGTACCCAGCAACTAACTGGTTCAGAAAAAGCATGAGGTTTCATAAGCAACAATATACTTTGTCAGCTGCTATGATAACATATAGTTAGCTTACAAAGGTGCCAAACAGCTCTACCTTCTGCCTGACTTCAGCCTAATGTGGCTGACCAGCTCTCTTAACTAATAGGCAAACTGAGCAGCTTCTTGAAAAGTAAACTTTCCAAAATACTCTTAGGGTGCATCCAGACGAGCATGGATGTTTGTTTCCCCAGGGATAAGTAGCACTGGCACATCTTGTGCTGCTGCTGCTTCTCCCAGAGAAATGCCTATGTCATGCGCGCTCTGGCGCACAGCAGGTTATCCCAGGTGGGGTAGGGGAGGCTGGGGCCAGCGACTATGCTGGCCCCAGCATCCTCACCTGGGGTCTCAGGGCCTCCAGGGGCTGCAGCTGAAGCAGGAAGCCTGGCCGGCAGCTGGAATGTGGCTCTTGGGTGGCACACACTGTCTCCACATGTGCCACCCTGTTTTTTGGTGTCGGTTTTTTTGACCCAAAGATCTCCCAGAGTCAACATTTCACTTAAAGGAGTAAGTTGCCTCCCAGTTATCTTAGAATCAGAGTGTGCAATTTGGCAGTTAATAAGGAATAACTGAGGTGCTAAATTCAAGTCCTGGCTTACCTCACAGGAACTTGCTTATTTAGCAACTTGTTATTGTAAAAAAGCAGAAAAAAATAACTCAAGTTCACACTGTAGTTAAATACAGACTTATAGTAACAAAACCAATAAGTAACAATCATTTTTGTTGTTACCTTTGTTAAACTGATCACTTTGATAACACGCTTCTGATTATCAACCTTTCCTTTTGCTAAAAATACTTTGCCAAAAGCTCCTTCCCCAATCATTTTAATGATTTCATATTTATCCATGATGCTTTTCTCTTAAAGCAGGGTCTAAAATACAAAAAAAACTTCAGCATTAGTGTTTTACAGGTAATCAGAGCTCGGAAAATATCCCAGAAATTTCTCATCTATTGGTGAAGTCAAAGATTTGCAATTACAGTCACAGATGTTGTCATAATCAAGAAATAAGGGTTGGTGGAAAATGTATTTAGTTCAACCAGTTGTTCTCAACCTTTTAGGACTCACGGCACCCCTTGGAAAAATATCAGTTTAGTTTTGGCTTGATTTTTGGCAATACAAAAATGATAAAGCAATTCTTCTGTTGCAAAGAACTCACAAAGACCATAACAAATCAGAATGCTTTTAACACTCTGGATTCCTAGTTGAAATCTCTAGATTTATCTTCGGAATCATGCTTGCATACCCAACAGTGCTAACACTATGGTGGCACCCCTGAAAGCACTATGGTTGAAAATCAGACTTACACCAATTTATCTCAGACTTCAGACAGCTGAGTCCCCTTCTGGAGAATAAAACCTACTGCATCTCCCCCCGACCCCAGAGACCCAGCAGGTGTTGTAAGAGGCTTCCTCAAAATGAGCAAAGGTGACATCTCAAGATGTGAACTAGGTAAAATCATAATAATGCAACAGGTCCTCTCTTTTCTTACTACCTCTGAGCAGCGACAGAGTTAACAAAAGTACACTACTGTATACGTTAGGACGGTGTATGTTAACAACAGCATTTAAAGTATCCCCGCTGTTCTCTGGCAGCAACACCCACTGAAGCAGACAGGGAGGTTCACACCACAACTATGCTTAAGGGTCTCCAGTGTTGCCCACTCACATCCTGAACCCCATGTTAGTGGGAAGGGGCTTCCCCTTCCAAACCCCAGCCCCCACAGTGACTGCAAATCTCAGCTGCCATTGCCAAATACAGTTTTGGGCACTGTGCTTGCAGAGGAAAGCTTGAAACTGTAATTCAAGTGCACCCAGAGGCAAATGACTGGAGCGAGGTGCTTATTCTGTGCCCACTGCAGGAGTTTGAGTGTTCTCAGCAGTAGCAAAAAACAGAACAAAAAGAAACGGTCTCAAGTAGCAGTGAGGGAAGTTTAGGTTAGATACAAGGAAAAACTCTCACTAGGAAGGAAGTAAAACACTGGAGCAGGTTACCCAGAGAGGTGGCGCATTCTCCATCACTGGAGGTTTTTAAGACCAGCCTTAGCTGGGAGGAGGTAGCTGGGGACAGTCCTGCTCCGAGCAGGAGGCTGGATTAGATGAGCTCCTGAGGTCCCCTCCAACACAAACTCTCTATAGTTGTGAGGCAGCCCCAGGAGGCTGGATGTGGGAAGGACCAGGCTCCCCAGGAGCTGGGCAGAACAGGCTGCCTTTGCTGTGGGCCAGCTCCCTCTTCCCTGACGGGGCCTGAAAGCTGGTAGGAGCCCCTGGATGCAGCAGTACCAGGACTAAGGGGTGTGTGCGTGAAAACTGAGGGGGGTGTCCATCCTTCTGCGCGTGTCTGTGCCTCCCGTGCCCGTCCATGCGCTGCAGAGAGCTGCCGCCCCGCCCCCACCCCCCGCCTTGCGCCCCGGGCTCCTCCCTCCCCGTTGCCATGGAGCCAGGACGCGCTAGGCCCGGGCCCCCCACCCCGCTCCCCAGGCGAGCTCGGGCCCACCGCGCCGCTCCCCGGCCCCGGCAGATGTGAGAGGGAGCAGAAGTGGTGCGGAGCTGCGGGTCGATACCTGCGGTGCCGGGCGCCGATGCAGCTGCGGGAGGCCAGGGCCCGGGGTGGATCCTGGGCCGGCCCCGCCCACCACAGCTGTTACCTTATTTTCCCGTGCACGCACGCCGTCACCCAGAGCCAGCTCCTCCAGCACTGCGTCACGCACCCGCCCATGGAACCTGGTCCAGCCCCTCGTCGCACCTGCCCGCTTCTGCCCCCACTCTAGCTACCTTAGCGGACGTTGCCACCCTGCTGGCGCTGGGGCCAGGGCACTTGGAAAGCCCCGCACGTTTGTCCCTGCAGCACTAGCTCAAGTGCCCAGGAGGTTGGGCTCCTTCTGGAGCAAACATGCCCAGTCCCACTAACATGGGGGTCAGGCTGTGAGTGGGCAATACTGGAGGCATTTAAGCATAGCCATGGTGTGAACCTCCCCATCTCCTTCAGTGGGTACCGCTGCCAGAAAACAGTGGGGATATTTTAAGGGTGTCATAACGTATATTAACATATACAGTAAATGATAGCCGGAGTGGGTACTGCATGCATAGGCAGCCCAGGGTCTGCAGGTCTAATCCAGGCTGGGCCTGTGCCACTCATCCAGCCCACGGGCCAGGCTCACGTCACTTGTACCCAACATCTAAACTTGCGTTCAGAAAAAGCCATGCCCATCATTCCCATGGCACCACCTTTTCCCCAGGCCCACAGAGACAGTCTTGGGTTGAGCACATGTTCACGATTCAGATTTCTGAGCAACAAAGGCTCAGCTTGGTATTTTATTACACGCACGCCTCTTCCTCTCATTGTATGGAAAACATCACCTTCACTGCTTTGACATCAAACAACTAGAAACATACAGTGGATTAGATCTGCTTAACAAGTGCTCCTTAGAGGTTTTTAAGACCCCCAGTTAGACAAAGTCTTGGCTGGGATAATATAGTTGGGAATGGTCCTTCTTTGAATAGGGGGTGGGATTAGATGAATTTTTTTAAGTGTTATCTTCTTCAACTACACAGTAATAATACAATCTTCCATTCATTGTATTTTGGCCATTTTTTTCAGTTCAGCTACCCAATCTGGCTCCTCCTCCTCTTCAAAGTCCCTAAAAAAAAAAATGGAAATTTTAAAAATCAATCAATTTTCAGAGCTAAAAGACGACAATCAAATGCTGTTTTACTATATATTCTCTTTTACAATTATCCTACAGACCACTGCAAAATATATTTTTGAACAACCCAATTATAAAAGATTCTTCCTTATACCTTTGAGATTAAGGAACTTTCAGTGACAAGTTTCACTAGGTAGAAAAAAAAAAGATGAGGAGCATATCCAATTGACTACAAACCTATTTCACATGCTGTTACTCTATGAATTGGTTTGCAGACAAATTATAGCAATACCTACTCGCACAATATTCTCTAAGCAAGAGAAAAACATACACAATAAAAACTGAAGTGGAGTGTATTGAGCCCCTGACAAGAAAAACACAAACATCCATCAAATGCAGTAGGCATCCATGTTCAGACTTAGTTGATGCATGCCTGTGCCTATTTCAGCACAATCAGAATAAGGCTGTGGCAATACACCAAAAATACAATGAACAGCTGAGCAACAAGTATATGACAACTCTCTTTCAAAAAGCAGCTGTAAAAACAAAATCTTATTGCAAGTCAAATCAGACCCTCAGCAACAAATCCTTTACATCAGCGGGGATCTGCACGTGCGTAAGGATCCATCACTGTGGATTTGACTGGAAGACCAGGACATGGGATGGAAAGTCAGCACATAAACACATTTACCAACAGCAAACAGCAGCTCCTGTATAAACACGGTACTAGAGATTTTATGATTTAACAGCATTTAACTGAATTAGATTCAGGGACTTAAATGCTCTCAAACTAAAATCATTTATCACAAAAAGACCAAGAAAAGTTATTTTGGAACAATAAAGTTAAAGAATCAAACAAAACCACAAGAGTCGGATATATTTTTCAAGCTGCGTATGAACATACGTGTCTTCTTCATCAGATCTAGGTTCAAGTCTTTCAGAATCTGTGATAATGGCCTCAAGGTCACCATCTATTTCATCAGATGCTTTGGATTCATCAGAAAGTGGACCTTTCAGTAAGTCTCCTGAGGCTTTGAAGGCATATTAAAAAGGTAAGAAAAAATAGTTTAGTTTAAGGAATAAAGGCAAAAAACAGAAAACTAAAGAAGTGTTTCAAAGTCAAAATTAAGTGCCTTCTTCCCAGTTTCCCTCCTACAACTCAAGTTTTAAATGCTACTCCAAATAGTTAGCAGACTTTTATTACAAGCTATTACATATTTAATTAAATGAACAGGCAAAGCTAGCAAACCCATTTGAAGGGAGAATGCAATATAGATCAGAATCTTGGACGAGTTTTCTGTGCAAATAATCTAAAGTTTGAGCTAAATAAAAAACAACTCTATTGAAATACATTCTTTTATCTCTTCTTCCTTCAGGAACCTGTGTTCAAGTAAGGGTGTTGTACACATACCCACACATCAAGCTTTTGGTGAAAGCTTTGAGTCTACATACTTGCAGCTTTGTGGCAAAATTTCTCACTTGTTTTTAATAATCTAAATGTTAATAACATTTTAAAAATAAAACTTCTGTGATGTTGAAAATAAACTACGTAAATGTCATTAAGTTTTAAAACCTGGTAATAATACAGATCTGATGTTGCAAAAAAGTCAGGTTGCCCACAGACTAAGGACCTACCTGCTTTATAGATTGTGTATGTTTTAAATGCTAAGCTAATATCAGCACTCTCAAGAATGTTCATCAAGGTTTGAGGAGTTTCTTTGATCCACTGCTTACGTGGATTATTTTCACTGTATTTTATGACACAACCACCTAGTTAAAAAAAATCACAATCAAATCATTAATAAACTGAAACACGCTATTTACATTAAACAACATTATCCACATGAATTACAGAGATTCTAATAGAGAAATATGGAAAGTCAGGAGGTTTGAGAATGGAGACGTGGATCTTCTTCCCAAGAAACTGTTCTAAAGCATACTGAATTGAGACTGATGATATAGACAATACAGAAGAGTGAGAGTACAAAAAGCATCAGATTCTGGATGCTGACAGGGTGTCAGGAGAAGCCATGACCTATCGTGGGGGCCCAGACTCACTGAATGGATATCCTGTACCTCCGTGAATCTCAAGGGACAGAACCCCTGGCCAATTCTGCAAGAGAAAATTTCGCTCCCATGTCAAAACAACCCAGGGAAAATGTCACAATTCAGAATATGTAGAGTTTCCTTTTCACTACTCTGACATTATTTACCTGAGATTTTTTACTCTTCTCTGTCTGTTAAAATCTTGATTTCTTAATATAAATATTAATGAAAGTTTTCATATTTACATATGTAACATCCCTCATCATGGCATGTGCAAGTTTAAATCAAAATATTCTTACAAAAAAGGGCCTGTTCTAAAATGTTCACTCAGCTGAAGTGTTTTTTCCTGAAGAATGTTACTTTGAAGACAAAGGGTGCATCTACACATGTGCTTTACTGAGGAGCTAATTAAGTAGCTCCACAGTAAAGCTTCACTGTCTACACGTATGCCTGTATTAACATACGCCTATATTAGGGTGCAGTAAATTAATTCATTCTATTGTAGGAGTACTGTCCAGCACAAATATTATCCTACAGCAGAGTAGCTGCATGCACTGAAACGCACATGCAGATGACCTGGCTTGGCTGAGGCAAGAAGCTGCTACAGTGCAGGGCTAGCCCCACACTGTAGCACCCTTGTGCCCCAGCCAGCCTCTCTGCAGCATGTTGAGCTGGGACCCTGACCCCCAGTCCCCTTTTTAGCTGAGGCTGCTCCACCCTGGCTCAGTATGTTGTAGTCCCAGGTGCACATGTAAATGCTGGACCTGTCAGAACTAAACTCTGGCATGAACTGCACTGAAGTTTATTGCTACGTGCTAGCTGCACATCTAGATGCACCCAAAGAGCCTGACACGTCCAGAGTTTACACCATTTAAGGCTTTGACAATTACTCCTGCAAATTAACTGGTAAGTTTGGAAGCTGAAGTACATAGGCAATCCACACCCATTAGACTACACTACTCAAATGAGGTACAATTAGATTTTGCCCAAGCTGAATTTTATAAGTGCCTGTAAGGCTGACCCAATGTAGAGTATATTAAAACTGATTAGCCTTGCATAACAGCACCTTAACTGTGGTAGCAGTACAACCACCCAGTCAAACGGAGACAGTGATCATTCCACAACTGCTGTTGATATCAATGCTGCTTTTTTTTCCTTCTGGCTATCTCTAGCCCAGGTGTAACCTGACTGAGATGTTTCTCTCACACATTTTCAGTTTTTCATCACTTACTACATTTAATGCTTAGTGACATGGTGGTTTTCATCATTGTTAGGTACCCCTTGCAAACTGAGCATTTTAAAATGATGTGGTTTTGGTTATTTTAAACAAGACCATGAAATAATGCACATAATAGTTGTATGAAAACACACACAAATAAACTGTAAATACATTTAATTGATCTTACTTTTCTCTTCCTCAGCTGTAAAACTAGAAGAAAGCAAGGAGGCACTTCCTAAGACATTTACCACTGCACTGGGTGCACCTCTTTCCCACTGTCTTCTCTGGAGACATGGCAAATCAGTATTGCTTGTGAGGGCTTCATATTTTTCTGTGTAAACCGCCATGAAAAAGAAATAGGAGTATAACTTGTTCATGTAAATGACTATAGTGAACAAAAAAGTACCTCATCAATTGAGACTGAATACCACTGATAAATTTGGACCCAAGAAGGTCAAAGTGGATGCAACTCCAATGTGGCATCTAATGTTTGTTTTTACTGCATCAAATATTATCAACAGACTGCTTTTTGAAAGTTACAGGTGAGGTTTTAGGCTCAACTAATCAGTAAAATGATCATATTTTTAAGAAGCTGAATGCAAATGCACTGATGCCTTTTTCTTTGGATACAAAGTATTGTGTACTTTGCATATATATATTAATGATATGTATATGCTGATTTGTACATGTCTATGTATAGATGTATATACAGCAGAATGCAATAAAGAAGAGAACTCACAAGCCTTGGAATACTGCATACATTACCCTCTTTACTGGAGCCCCTTTCCTTCAGTGTTCTTCCACTCAAAATCTTTGTAGTGTTCTTCAGATCTGAGTGGCTCCACTGATCTTCATTTTGCTTTAAAAGTTTCAAGAACAGTATTAATCATTACCTACATTGTTAGAACACTAATTCATACATGTCTTTTAATTATTTTCATTTTGCTACACTCTGAAAAATTAGACAGTTAACATTTGTAAATTTACAATTGTAACCAACCGTACAGTGATACAAACAGGCAATTGCGCTGCATTTATTATATTCATTTCACAGCATATGCCTCTTCATAACAGGCTGTCTTGATATCTAACAGAAAGCTTAAGTTTAATGACTTCAGGCAACTTATGCTTTGCACCTTTTTTGTTTTAAAAAGCAGTAACATAACGAAAAAATGAGTCACTAAGCTTGGAGGAAAACAGGTGCACTGAATAGGAAATTTCCCAGACTGACAGCTCTGTTAAGGGAGAAGAAATGCGCCCCACTGGCTAGAGGTATCATTTCTACTTTGAAAAATACAGTCACTAGGAATGAAGCGCACACTGCTAAAATTTACTCAGAAGTTGTTTTCAGCCACTTCTGACTTATTTCAGTTAAACTACCTTCATGCCAAATCAAGCATGGACATGAATTTTCAATGAGGATATCTATGCCAAACTGTTTATGCGTTTGTGGGTTCAATTTATATTTAGTTTTGAAGCAAATGAAATATGCATTTCTATCCACTATTCCATACTTCAAAAAATAATTAAAGGGATGTTCACCAAGACTAAAGTAAAACTCAGTATCTGCCCAAACTTGCCATGGAATATATCAGCCCCCAAGCACTTCTGCAAGCTACATGGGTGTAAAATTGAGATTGTATAGGATAACTTTGCAAGTTTACCTACAGCAGGTAGAGTAGTGAAATCTTTATGTAAACATCATTACAATTCACCTGACTGCTGATCTAGTAGGCTATGGCTATTAGCCAATACACTAACTAACTTGCAAAAACAATCTTGTATAGCTTTAAAAAAAACCCACAAAAACAAACAGGAATTGTATGTATATTTGTATTTCAGTACTTACCCGAGTACTGTTTGCTCCACCACTGCTTCTAGCACCTGCTAAATTAATGGGCAGATTCAAGAATTAAATCCAAATGTTTTACAAACATCTGGTGTAAACTGCTGGTCATGAGGGCCAGCCACTAACATCTCTGAAACAGAAATTCTGAAAGAAAATTCTATGAAAGCTTCTTTCCAGTTGTATCAATATATCTCAGTCCCAATTCAGGACACTTCTGCTCTTCCATTCCCCCAAATCTCTCTTTGGAAGAAAAGCATTGTCAATTGTGCTATGACTAAATCAGAGATTTAAATGATAGGTGAATACTGACAGGGAAGAAAAATCACAGTATATGAACCAACTTCTTTCACAGTAAAAGGCTGGTAAACTAACTAGCCTTCCCAAAACCAAAATGTCTCACCCCTAAAGAAAAAAATATGCAGCTGCTTTGTGAATTCAGAAGTCAGGATCTGAGATAGGAAGCCAATGGGACAATTCAAGTGCTCAAAGTTATGAACTAGCAAAAAGGACTTAATTTAATTCCGGTCTCAGAAGAGAGTAATACTATCACCATTGAATGCATCACAGAAAGGAGAGTACCGCTTGCAAATAAAATAAGTGATTCTTACTTTGTTCTAAAGAATATTTGATATATTGGTTCTCTTTATGGTAAAGAGTAAAATTGTAACCTCCAGAATCAAAACACTCTACAAACTGAAACTAAGTAGCTCACTGATGCCTTTAAAATGCCATATTTACAAGTTTTTATTTTGATTTGACAGTATAATGTGAACATCATCTTTAATATTAGGATTTAGAATAATGCATTTCAGACTCACTTTTGATAGATTTTTTTAAAGTATTTAAAATCTTCTTTTGAAAAATTACCTTTTGTATCTCCTCTATCCCTTCTGTGCCTCTTCGGTTCCTTTAATATTTGTTGAATCCCAGCTGTCACCTGGAAATTGAATGCAGATTCAATCCACTATGCATATTTTTTCATATTACTCAAGGTTTATGTTAAAATAAATTAACAAACAGAAATAAATTCATCTTATAATTAACAAAATAAAATAAAATTCCTAAAATAAATGAACAGGAAGAATGATTTATTTTTTTATTACAAATACATCCTCAAAATTCACCTCTCTGAGAAGCCTACAAGTATTTTTAACACTCTTTGATTACAGTCCTATACAATAGTACTGGCATCATTTTTCAATAACATAATGACATGGCAATACAGGTATCTGAATTAGCTTCTAGAATGTAGGCCCTATTTTTAAATTCTGCTAATTGGTGATAAAATAAAAAGTATACTATACCTCTGCTGGCAAACAAGTTTCAATGAACTTGGCTAAGCAGCCTCTTGCAAGAATAGTACTGGCCGAAGGACGGTTCTTGGGATTTCTCTTAAACATCTGTTTTATTAAATAATGAAGTTCGTAGGAGTAATGAGATGGAAGTGGATTGTAGGAACCTTTACATATCTTAAGGATGAGATGTTTCCAGCTATTGGCTTGAAACTACATTTAGAAAAAAATGAATTTTAAAGACCTGACAACTTGAGGGAAAGGGAGGATTACAAGTTGATTTAACACAAGAACAATATCAATATATGTTACTACCTCTAGTAATTATCTACTTCAGCTTGAATTAGCTAATTTAAACAGTGTAAGTGAGGTTTCCTAAGTGTATAACAATGGAATGTAACAATCTTCTTTTGGGTTTTGCAAAATAAATAGCACTCAATAATATTTTTAAAAGACCTGCTTATGGCAATTGTTAAAAGGAAAATAAAACTTGGTTGCAAAATCCTCCTCTCCCAAGAGAGTAGATGTTGACAGAGATTTGAAAAGTGCTGATCCAATACTTGGAAGCTGCTTGAGAAAGATCCCCTAATCCAACATTAGAAAGAGTCACTTTCCCATGCAGATGTGAAATCTACTAGTACCCACTAATGACGAGGAAACAGTAGGGACAAAGTTTCCTATTGTCTCCAAGGGTTCTTCCTAACCTATTTCAGAGAAGCAGCAAGCCAAGAAACTAAAATCTGCTAATCAGTAAACGTATGACTAAAACCTATTTCACCTTTACATGTTTAAGTAGCATGCATGCGTAACTGCAATTTCTTTTTCTTATGCATAGTTTGGAATCTATTTGCTGCCTTCTGGTTATGCAGACACCCAGGTGGAACAGACGCAAGCCAGGCACATGAATAACACTAGATTCATA